TTTTTGTTACTTTTTCACATCGACTGACAATTTTCTACGTTGATGAACACTAACAGTTAAAAACTTCAAGCGGACACAAAGCCGGCGTACACTTTACTTGTGCGTACAGATTAGGTTGTAACTTGAACATGTGATATGGGAAACAAATTCAAGTTCCATTTTGACATTCTGTCTGTATCGAACCTTAAGTAGATTGGTCTAACTAGTAAAAAAAATAGGGAAAACATTTTTTTTTAAATAATTATGTAGATTAACAAACGTTTTATTGCAGATTAGAATTGCCTTAGGCTGCAATAGTTATCAGAATCGAAAAATATTGTTATCCTTTTAGAAGATTGATCCTGTTCTGTTCATAATATCGACACAGCGTCAAATCTATCTCTGACTACAAAGTTAGTGGTGTTAAATGCTTTGTGTATGAAAAAAAAAACTTTTGAAATGGAGCTGTAGTGACTACTATGCTTTTCCACGCCCACAATTTATTCGTCTGTGATTGGCTAGTAAATCCATACTGCTTTTCTATAAGACAATTTAGCAATCGCAGTCATCACTTTGAATTTTTCGGTCGTGAACTTGCTCACATGTTCCTTTGATACAAAATCAGTAATTGGTCAAATTTTAACCAATCAAACATTTTAATACTAAATCAATTTTTCCCGCGTTTTCGCTCGGAACCTACCGGTGTCTTTAAAGGAAGCAATTTTCCCACAAGCCACCAGTAGAGTCCAGCTATTTCGCCTGTCCACACAAATCTACGACTTTACTCGCAACACTTCAAACGCACACACAGACACAGATTTTTGTAACACATTATACATATCTCTCTCTGTGACTCAGCCAAGTTCATGAACCAGAACTCTATTAATTTCTCTAAACAACACATTTCTTAATTAGCTGTATTCTATTCTAACAGCAAACTCTATTCAACATAGAATCCTGAACATTCTTATTCAAGAGAAGCTCTTTCGAACATTCAATCGTAAATCAGAATGCAGTTGAAGGGGAATAACTTTTTTTTCCTTAATCATTACACTTCATTGCATGATTGTTTTGTATGTTATATTTTAATATATATTTATTTGCTGATCCATAAGTGGAGTTGTTTTTTCTTGAATCGTTAAATGTACAATAATTATATGCGCTAAGAACACGCATCACAGAGGTTAAAAAAGATTAAATAACGAACAAACCAATATATATATATATATATATATATATATATATATATATATATATATATATATATATATATATATGATGTTAGAATTTAATTTGAGAACCACGACTACAATATTCTACAAGTTCACGTTCTAGCCTCTTCTCTAATCCTTGTTTAGCATCCCGCTACCACTTTCTTATCAATGTTGAATTTTATTCAGCTTCATGCAGATTTTCAGGAATATCAGCTTCTAATTGGTTAATACACACAAGTGGGCGTGCAATCCACCCATGTTCAAATATTTTTCCAGCGCGTGACCAAATCAAGTTTCCAGCCAATTTTTTGTGATCCTGTCACGTGATTACATTAATTATAAATAGCAGACACGAGCTTGCTACTCTCTCCTTCTCTTCTCGCTACAAGATGTCATTGTAAAAAGGATCTCGTCTCGACCATGGGCGGTCAGACGTTAAAAGCATATTCACGCATGCACGTACGTGCGAAATTTTCCAAACTACATTACAAACGTACAGAAGATTCCAAACAAGCAATAAGAACTTTTCTCTTTGAAATACTCTTCTAAAGCTACAGTTTATTAGCATTTTCAGCTTTATAAATCATTCAACTTTTGTGAGCTCAGATAAAAAAAATTAATTCAATCTAAGGGACATAACACCAAAACCTCTACAGACGTACACACAAAATAGATATAAATGTTTGTTGTTATAAAACCTTTTGTTCCTTCTTGCTTTTTTATATTTTGTAGTATATTACGTTAAATATAAATTGTGTGGTCATGTTATTCACGTAGCAATAAACATACATCTACAAATGGTCCATTCTTATCAACAGTGACACTTGCCCCAACATTTTTTTTTCCTGGTTTCAAATCCGGCTCCCAAAGCCGTGATTCTTATGAGAGATAAGAATATATTTTCTGACGAACGTGAGAGCTGGAAAATATAAAAAGGAGTTTGAACACCATCATCCTGCCATGGTGCCATGAAATCTGGGGGAGGCGATCGCAGCTTGTCGGACCATTTCCGGCTCTCAAAGCCTTGTTCTTATCAGAAATAAGAATATATTTTCTAACGAAATTTGTGTAGCAATTTTGAAGGGAAAAGTCTCCGATATTTCTGAGCCTCCTAATTTCCTAATAAATACAGAGAATCTTCGCCTATTTGGCAGTGACTACTCGACAACCGCCTGTGATAACATCAGGTCGGCGATAGAACAAAAGTCGGCTTCGGAGAAATCTACCTGCTGGACTGTAAAGACAGAACGTCAGCCCACTACTAAAAACTAATTGAGATCTGTCTCCTTGCAAATAGAAGATTGCTGTCGCCGGCTTACGAACTCAACTACAAAATTCGGCTCTTTTGACAGTTTCCTCCCCAACAATAACTTTGAGTGAGTGAATTTCAAACCCTTAACAACAATCTACTCGCTTAAAGAACTTTCTAGGTGCTCAGAGAAATATTTTGAGCAAGCCGCCTTTTATAAACAGTTTTCGTTCCTTTAAAGTTAAGGGAATTTTCTTCTTCCTTTCTGTCTCCCGTAATTATGTATATCCTTTTACCCCTTTTTTCGTACATGCAAATAAACATTTTCTTTATTTATTGTTACACACCGAGCAGGAGTTTGAGTCATTATTCTTCCCCTAAAAAGAGAGAATTGTCCGCTCTAATAATTCAAGCTGTTGTTGCATTTTTCTTCAATATCGTCGCATTTTTAACCTCAGCCCTTTCATGTGGGAAAACCGGGACAAGTTTCCCACAATATATGGAAGTGCTATCTGATGATCCGGCATCCTTTAAAAGGGCTCTGGTGAAATAAATTATTATAATGGTACCTTAAAGTGGTCTGTTTTTCTTTAATATATATATATATATATAAGATTACGGATCTTGATCAGGCCTTCATCACAATAGGTAGGTAGGAATAGATGCGAGAGGTAAAAATAAGCTACAGATGAACTCAAAATTGATCGCTGCATTTAAGTATTGCATTAATATTTAAGCTTAACTTTTAAAAGTTCAACAATAATTCTTCTGCCGCGACTTAATTTAAAGATAATTTGATGTATGTAGGTCCTTACTTTCCGTACATAGAAACACTTACTTTTATTTCATGGGTGACTTTTGCTTGATTTCGCAATTAATTTCGATTATTCCCAAATTTGTTTCCAAGTTATAAAAATTGTTATCGAACAAAAAAATTTCGTCTCAAAAAGTCACGTAAAAAATCGTCGAAAACACTCGCAGAAATGAAAACTTGGAAACCAAAAAATTTCACGACTGTAGGCTCACTGACTATATGGTGCCGAGCCACCAATCTTGCATGGTTTTTGACCAGGCTAAGGTGGCACCCTTGAAAAGAAAAAAAAAACTCTTCTCACCTTGGAAATTTTGGCTCTAAAATGCTTGCTCACTGTCTTGAAGAATTGTGGAGTTGCAAACCGACCATAATACATGTTGCCACAGATTCTGAGGTTGTCCTCTCTTGGGTTCTGTCTCGGTCCATCATTAGTAAGAACCTCTTTGCGAGAAATAGACTATAGGATGTCTTGCAGATGAGCGACGGTTTGGAGTCATTGTTTGGCCTCTCATCTTCATTCCGGTATGTGCTGCCTACAAAGCACCAGTGGTATGTCATTGAAAACGTTCAGAGCATGCACTTTCTGGTGCTACGGTCCGGATTGGTTGAGTTGTGGTACCACTCCTTGTGGCAATCAGGTATCATCCTGTCTGTTTCGGGAAACAAAGTAAACGGATCGCCCGTTCTTCATTGAATGCCGCGGTCATTCAGGGAGAAGATTTCTCAACGGTCCTGTCACTTGAGAGATTTTCACCCTTCGTGAAGCAGTTGAGAGTAACTTTCTTAGTCTTCAAATTCATCAATAGGTCGAGACGGTTGGAGGTTGACATTGAAGGATCAAGTGAAGGGACAGTGGCTGCCATTTTTCTTATGACGAATATGCAGCAACAGCTGTATTCTGAAGAATTAGAATTCTTGCTGGATCCTGCCGGCAGGACAGTCCTTGAATTAGTCTGGGACTTTGATGTGTTCATTGATGAGGAGGGCCTAATCAGGTCGGGTGGGACAATTGGTAGGTCCCTTCACTTCAACATGGAGGTTAAACACTCTATCCTATTGGCTAAGCATCACCCTATAACGAGGCTCATCATAATGGATAGTCACGTGAGGTGCCAGCACTTGGGGGTTGGCTCAACCTTGGCTGAACTGAGACGTCAAGGTTACTAGGTACCTAAGGGAAGACAAGCTGCAAAGACTGTTCTGCGTTATTGCGCATTGTGTAGGAAGTACAATGTCAAACAGTCCTACCTCCAAATGCGGCCAACTTACCACTTCACGTGTGGAACTGGATCTTCCCTTCAAACATACTGGAATTGACTTCAATGGACACCTTTGGATTAAAAAGGGTGGTAGACAGGTGAAGATGTATTTGCTTATCTTCACTTGTCACGGTGTCAGAGCAGTACATATTGAGGTAGTGCCAAACATGGGTATACTGTCCTTTCTTCAGGCCTTGGGGTCACCAACTTGTATGACATTCCGGCTGTCATCTACTGTGACAATGCAAAAACCTTCCTCGGGAGTGGCCGGATGTTCAAGTGATTGGTGTTGTGCCACGATTTTCAGCAGGTTTGGTTCTTGGCAAATCAACTTCTGTCCTATTCTACTTTTCGCTCTCTGGGTTGGAAGTATGTGGGAACTTGCCCTCCACTCCAAGGTGGTTGGCCGTGGTGAGGTAGATTATTTCACCCTACTGACCATTATATCCGATATCCAAAGGGCTATCAACAACCGCCCCCACTTATCAGGAATATGCGGAGAGAGAGAGAGAGAGAGAGAGAGAGAGAGAAGCAGTGACACCTAACATGTTTCTTAGGCCTAATGAGAACCCCGGGTTGCTGTTGAACCTAAAGGATGGGGATTTTGCTCCCTCTATGCCAACCAACCGGGAGAGACTCCTTAGAACCATGCAGGTGCGGAACTAAAGTCCGGAGAAATTTAGAGTCATTTATGATGAATACTTTGTTAAGCCTTAGGAAAAGGTCCCAGGGTCGTTCTCAGGTGACATTTTGGAACCGACTGAGGGTTGGGGACGCGTTCCTAGTCAAGAACACTTTTAAACCCAGACCCTTTTAGGTTTTTGGAATTGTCACGGAGGAGATTAGTGGAGAGGACGATATCATTGGGTCGGCTAAGGTTAGGCAGGTCCACTGCTGAAACATCTGACAGGGAAAGTCAAGTTGGTGCCCTTGTCTACTGATGTACCTGCGGCGGAGCTTACCTCTGCTCCTCTCTCTCCTCAAACCTTACCTTCCGAGGAGAGGGAGGTGGTTTGGTTCTGTCCGGTCTGCAACGCCCTGCAAGATGTTCAAGGAATGATTTTGCTGTGATAGATGTGATGATTGGTGTCCCTTCAGGTGTGTTGAGATCGAATCTCCCTCTCTCGCTGTACTGCCCAGATTGTGTTCCTCTGAGGTGGTGGCGTGGTAGGCTTAGTCTCCTCCTTGAGTAAGTGGGTGCGTCAATATAACAATTCTTAGTAATATTGTTAACTGCCCTCGGTAAGGCACTATGGAGCCTTACAAAGAGTCAGTGTTACAACCTGACGTGGAGATCTGAGTGTTTCCACTCGGACCGCTGGTCTAAGCTGATCTTAGCTTCTCTAAGGTGGTCTTAACTGGCTATAGCTTGTCTAAGCTGGTCATAGCCGGTCATACCACCGCTACGTAATAGACGTTACGCAACGGTGGGGGACGCATGGGAGAAGACCCCTGGAACGGAACAGGTACTACAGCATCCATCCCGACAGGGGAAAACCGTTTTCTCCTCTGCCAATCCCTCCGAAAAAATCCGGAAGAAAGGCCCCAAGGCACTGTAGAGCCCTATATATTTGTTCTATTCATTTCTTTCTTCTGTTTCTCTGGAATGTGTACAGAAATTGACTTGGTCAGGAGAGGAAGAAAGCGGTGTACTTACCTTGAGTTGTAGAAATGCTTATTAACAAAAAAAACTTTACTGCCTTCTCTATTAACCTTTTATAGTTGTAGTGGTCACGTGACCGTGTTACCATAAGTTGTATAAAAGGAGCGGAAATCTCTCTCTTTTTTTCCTTCAATGAGTTTTCTTGGCTATCAAACAGTTGACGTCGCGGAAAGGGCAATATTTTTCGCAACTAAGGTAAGTACTATTGCTTTAATTTCCTCAGCCTGACCAGTCTTTACACGTTCGGAGCGATTACTCGAAATCTGCTTTTGGAACATTCTATTATCTACTTTTAATAGTATAATCCAGTTTTCGCACCAAATAAGATTTGACGCGTAATTACGAACGCTATGATTAGTGCAGTCCAATATCGCGAAGAAGGTAGATGTCTTTAGTTCACTACAGGGAACGACACCAAAAATATTTAGTTTCTAAATATTTTTGGTACTTAAAAAAGTTAACAAAACCCTAAGGTATATATATATATATATATATATATATATATATATATATATAAATTAGAACTTGTAAATCCTTTGTTGTCACCTAGGGAAGGTTACGGAATAGAATAATGAAACGAAGGTTGGTAATGAACGTTAATATTTAGGGCAAGAACAACACATATAAGATTCGCCAGCAGCGCATTGAAGAAGTATTCAACTACTAGAAGTGAGTCAAGTGAATTCCACAATGAATCTCCAATTCTAGAACTACTGTATTTATATGAATGAGGATATATCCATTATCGTCTGTAGTTATGCCAATATGTTTCCTGTATTTACAAGAAAAATTACATATTATAAAGTTTGCTGAGAAAAAAGTACAGTTAAGCCAAAGAAATGAATTAACGGTGTTATGCCGGCATTGTCTATATCTTTTACCTTAAAATATAGTTAAAAAATGTTCATAAATGTTATGGTGTGCTCCCACTAGTGAGGCTATTGTGGACTTTTCCACTTACTATAAAGTTAGTAGGAAAGTAAGCCTCAGGGGGACAGTGATATAGACTGAACGCTGGTCAACCGACACACACTCCCAAGTCATCGTGTAACAGACTTCTCTTGTATTTACTGTTCAATACACTATTTATCTGCAACGTCTTGTTTTGTTATTCCTTAATCATTACTAGATCACAACAATAAATAATTATGTATTACAAGTTTATAGCCATTATTTTATAATAGTCCACCAAATACGAGTAGTTTATTTGTTTGATTTATTCAGATTTAATATTGCCATGCTTTGCCGTCTATTTAGTGTAATAAGTATTGTAAATATAGAAATTCCAAATTTTTAATTTTAAATATTGGCCCTTATAAGAAGATCCCTAAATATAAAAAAAATACTTTTTAAAATAATATGTTTCTGTTAACAAAACAAAAACTTGGCTACATCTTATTTTATATAATTTATCATTGTTGTGACCAAATAAATGGTTAAGTTATAACAAAAACCAGGTTTGCAGATATATCGTATATTAAACAGTAAGTACACCAGAAGAGTATTACACAACTAGTGAAAGTGTATCGAATGAGCTAGCGCTCAATCTATTCACTGTTCACTGTTCACTGATATTTATTCTGAAACATCAAATTCGCGACCCATTTATTCATTACAATTTGATCATTCACCAAAAGAACTTGTCTATCGTCTCTCGATCCTGCATACACCAAAATACCGCATATTCACACGGAAGCTCTCGAAATGCCGCCGAAACGCCTCGCACATGTCCTCGGTCGCTCTCAGAGTACGCTCCTCCGGGGTAATGACCTTACGAATGTACCGATCGGAACCTCGACGGATCTCTTACTTGCTCATTTCTGCGTCCATATTCACAGCTTCGTTAGACATCTTGTTTAAACTATGTCTAACTACCTGACCCTGATAGCGCTTGCTAGCCTCGCGCTTCAGGGCTTACCTAGCTATGGCTATCGCTAGAGAACCCCCTACCGCAGCCACCTCCCGGGACAGACTATACTCTAGAGCCTTCCCCTTTTTAGCTTTATTTAGAGGGAGTTGTTGGCAATATTCAGTGGTGAAGGACATAATCCTATCCTTAAGCCTCTCCCACCACCTAATCACAATAACCGCCCCCACTAATTCCCGCTGCACTAATCTAGTCAGCTGTTGCTGAAAGTCCGCCTGTCCAGTAAGGACACGTTGAACTTCCTGTGTTCAGACATTCTAGGCCTAGCACCTAATACCATCCGGGCACAGACGAGTTTATGATCCGAATAGTCTAACCGGTGGAACGTGGGACAATCTAGTAAATCTAGGTCGACCCTTCTCGCTAACATTCTGTCCGGGTAGCCAGCTACCCGGAAAGACGGCCAACTAAGGGCCCACGTCCAAATCTCCCCCCTCGGATGATCGACCCGGTATCTATCGACGAGCCCAATCTCGCCGATCAGATTAACCAAGCTACGATCGCCCGATACCTTCCCGCTAGCACCCGCCCCTATCTATCTTGGGGTCCAGGACGGCATTCCAGTCCCCATTAAGACTAAACGCGAAGAATCAACAAGGAATGGCCCCAACTGACGGAAAATGTCGACACGCTCCTCCTGATCGTTGGGCGCATAAACCGCAACGACCCGAAACGAATCACTGCTCACTGCAATATCGGCCACAACCAACCGTCCCCGCTGCGCCCACATGGACAAAATCTACCCTCGCATCCAGGGAACGTTTGATTAACAAGGAAACACATCTGGTATCCGGTCCGCGTATGTTGAATAGACGTTAGACAGCACACTGGCATCGACGTCGCAAACAAAGTGTCCTCAATCGCGGCCACTTCTACACCAAAGGACCCGAGACCACGTAGCAGGCGGGCAGCCTTACCCATATTCTCAAGCCCCTTACATTCAGGTTGGCTAGCTTGATAAACATGATTTAAGCCTGCGTCTCTTAAACACAGACTGGTCAGAAATCTATGAGCGTCAAGACGCCGACGGATTGTCCAAGGCTTCCCGTTCCGATATCGGCCGTAATTCAACCGTCCCTGACAATGCCGCCGACGTCTGTCGGGAAGGTTAGCTTGAGAGCCCTATATAAAGAGGGGTGGAGCCAAATGGGGTCCTTCCCAGCACACATTTGCGACATCTTTTTTAAATCAATTGCCCTCATCTGGACCATCCTTATATTAGTGAAAGCTTCTTTGGCACTAGCAAAATAGTCCCAAACTCTTAATTCCCCCACCCCCGTGTTACGGATTAGGGTAATAACTCCGGAGGCTTGGGGAAAGTTCCTCGGGTCCTCAATCGATTTCCCATCGACAGAGGTGTACTTGAAAAGGGGCTTCAATAGTGCCTTTCTTTGAGCCGATGTCTCTCTCAAAGGCCTGCCTGTCGATAACACAAATCTTCTCCTCGCTGGGGAATGTTTTTTTTCATTTTTGGGGATTCGTTGGGGGAGGGGTTGGTAGAGGGAATAGAAGTCGGAGACGGGGAAACAGAGAGGCTCCTTGCCTTACTTGTAACATCAGGATCAACTGTTTTTGTTGGCGAAGTAGAGGCAGATTTTTTCTTGTTATTTTCACCAGATTTCTCCGCCCTACACCGATCAGCTTTCTTTTCCTTTTTAAAGTCCTTGAGATCCTCTTCCTCATTTCTCCCTCTTTTCAGTGACGAAGAACGAGGTGGAGACATTTCCCCCATCTCCATAAATAAGTCTTTAACTAATAACTGACATCCATTAACCGCGTATTGAACTCACACTCTTTGGGTCCTGTCACTGGATCTAACTAACGCCTTTATCCACTGTGCCATGCATAACTGACATCCATTAAACATGGCACGTGGAACTAGAACAGTCTACTCCCAGTGAACGAAATAAAGGGACCAGTTCGACATTCGAACCACCTGAAGAAGGCCAGAGCGTACAACGGCCGAAACGTTGTAATAAATATGGCAAAAAAGAAGAGGACAATAGTCCGAATAATGTAAATAGTGTAAAGATGAGAACGCTCGTCCGAATTCAGTGTAAAGTAAAAAGATATTGATTAGAAATTATAATGATCTATAAAGATTAATTGATCTTAGAATTTTTGTCAAACCTTTATTCTATTGTAAGAGATGACATCACATCTGAATAACCTGCTTAAAATAACATAATGGGAAACAATGCTATATTATTTGTTCTAATTGATTCCACTTCAGCTCACAATACACACACTGTCTTACGAATAAATGAAATTCAAGGCCTGTCAACTAATACAATTTTATAAGTTTACCTCCATCTGTTCGGGTTGATGATTTTGCTGGACCTCCTGCTCTTAGCCTTCCGGCTGCTGCTGCTGCTCTGGCCTCTGCTGCTGCTGCTTTTGTTGTTGCTCACTTAGGGGCTGTAATTTTCGCGGCTGCTTTTGTTGTTCCTGCGGATTTTGTTTCTGTCGCTGCTGCATTGGTTCCTGTTGTTGCTGCTTCTGATTAGCATTTCTGGGGCACCGCGGCTGTCACTTTGGTTCTCTTCTTCACCCCCTCAGTCCACTCGTCAGGACCACTAGTGGCATTCTTAGGTGCTTCCACCCTGGGCTGCTCAGGTTGAACTGTAGGTGTCAGATTCTTCGTCGGAAACAGTTTTGCCAAGTGTCCG